TAGTGTCTTGGCTAAGAAAGTAGACTTTGATGTTCAGCGATGATGTTGCTCTACAACTCAGTTGTGCAAAGCTGTATAACTTATATAGAAAGGGTTGCATGCAGAAATCGGGCGTTCTGAATTTCTCTATAAGGGTTTAAACGACTATTTCACATTAGCTTTGCACTTTATCGCATGTTGACGTGAACATTTCCAAACGTCGACCGTATGTCAGAACTTTTATGATGTGTCCATTTTCATGCCGAGCCCATTCAGTTGGGGGACGCACGATTCGTGCGATCGTGGGTCGCGCGGCGAAATTCATGATGATTCGAACGACTCTGACGCCTACTATTGGAGCACAAACTTGAAGTAGAGTGGATTAGTAAGATCAGCTGACCATACCCAACTATTCTATAATACTACAAGTTTGTGCCCCAATAATAGGCGTCAGAGTCGTTCGAATCATCACGAATTCCGCCGCGCAATTTGCCGCGCGCACCCAGAATCGCACGAATCGGCACACACCCCATTAAGTTACCGTCTTTGTTTGCTTGCCGTCCAGTCATAGTCGGTCGCAAGAACGTACCCGAGTAGAGGCCCTTCCGGTGAGCCGCAAATTTTCCTTCTTCCCACTCAACTTTCTAATCTACCATTAAAACTGTTATAATTTCAACTTTTCAGACGTCTAAACAACTCATTCTAATGCAGTTTACTCGAGAAAATGCTTGTGAATGCTTTATGGTAACTGCGAAATAAAAGGCAAGGCAGGCAAATGGCATCTACAGGTGATCTAGTAAGCCAGATGAGGTTTAGATATGCTAATATGTCCTAATATTTTTTCAGTGCAGAGCATCTATTCTACTTCCATCTTGCTTCTTCTACAGTGAACCCTCCCTCTACAAGCAGAGCTGTGATAAGCTTGTAATTTCAAGGGGTCAGTAGCTAACATGGTTTTCCTCTCGAGCTTTGCGCTTGTTTTCGTGCGCAGCTTTATTCTTCAGACGTGTCATGGGTTTTCAGAAACTCTACTTGTTTCTCATTCTGTATGTGTTTACATACATTATTTTCTTATATATTCATTTCACATTCACGAGTTTCCAGCTACATTCCAAAACCAGCGCGTTAGAAAGAGAAAAGACGTTAGGATGCGCCGCGCGCTACGTGCCATTTAAATCGAAGCGCACTCCTGCACCACAATTTCCTCACGTTGTGATACATCACCTATGCATTTGTATTGCTTAATATACAGAAAGAAAAACGATGTTCTGACTTGATGCTCTCTTTAGCTGGTGGTATTACAACACGGATTCGCTTGTACAAGTTCCGCCACTACTTACTGCGGCGGAATAACAGCAGTTAACAAGAACATGAAGTTAAAATAAGTCATAGCAAGAACCGCTCCCAGCTTGAAGGTTCAGTGCTGAAGCTTACTAACCGGCTCATCACGTTGTGTGTGTGAAATCTGATGAAGTATGACATAAAAGTCGTTCAAAAAGCCAGAGCGAGCGGAGTCTTGGTAGTGTACGGAATAATGAACACGGTGCTCCGAGAGCGCAAGTACGTGTTCAAGTTGGAACATCCGATAGCAGAACGTCGACGACGTCCTCGTCAATACGTACTAGGCCATGACCATCGATTCGTAAGGAAGCTTGACAACCCGAATGGGAGGGCTGTGATTAAGAAGATGTGGATCGAACGCAGCTCCGACAATTTCGCTGCCTACGCACCAGCTTCGAAGACGAGGAAGTTTCATATGGAGTCAGAAAGGCCTCTCAGAGAGCAGCGCGCTTCCTTCATGGTCATCGTCGGTGATCCCAACGAAAAAATTGACTTAAACAGAACGGCTAAAGAGCTACAATCTGGACTTACGGAACGGAGTGCAATGAGCCGAGTGAAACGGTGTCCTAGTATATCATGTCGACCCACACTATCCATGGTAACTCGCAGTTCCAGAAGCCCCCCACTTGGGTTATAAGAGTCACCAGTCGGACAAATCAATAATGAAGTTTATCACCTCATCTTCAATCGTAGGTGTTGTCCAAGTGGCGTCGCTATTATTCTGAAGTTCTACACGGAATTGGACCATCGCCCGCCCCAATCTAGATTCCGTATTTTAATGCCAGCAGAGAGTTGCGAAGTTTAGAAAATGAAGCCTCAAAGCTTTCATTAACTGTGACTACTTCGCTCCTCTCGCGAGTTTTTGGAAAGATTCCGTCATCGACAAAATCAATGAAGAATACATCCGGCTCGTCGAACACCTTCACGATGTGCTAAAAAAGCAGAGAACCTACAAGTGGCCAAGGGTCGTTTGCTCAGCCGGTCATTCGCTTGCTTCTGTGGTCCTGACGGAACAGTTTCTGCCTCTCGAAAGGAGAAGTTCACCTACGATTCTACTAAAATCTTCTGGACAGCCACGACTTTATGCGTACCTACCATTTTGGGCGAAACGGGTACTTCGCTACTTTAGTTCAGTTCTCGAATCCGCATTTCAAAATGCCACCACGTCGGTGAAAACTTGTACAGCGCCAGTCCCGAGCAGATTGAACCGGATCATCTATGGGATCTCTCACCGTTTGTCGTTTGAGCCACTCATGCTCCTGGTGTAGTGATCTATTGAGTGTAACCAAGGACTACTGCCTTCGAATAGTGGGAATATTCAAGTTCTCAAAGTCATAGTGAGAATTCACTGATCATAATGAAAAAAAGAAAAAGTGAAAAAAGAGCGGACAAAGGATGAGCATGTGTAGCAACTAGTTCATAATCGGTGGTCAGCATTAAGGCAGACATATATCTCCTTTAAAACAATAGAAATAATTCAAAGGAACAAGTTTCAGAGAAATACAAGCGATGCCGATATTGTAAGAGAGTAGCGGAACAGAAGCATTGAATTCAGGACTGAAAATTCGCTGAAAAACATTTTCAAAAGTCCACCGAAGTGTGATCTGTTGAGGCTTATGAAGGAGCACTTCTTGAAGCAAGGTACACTGAGCTGGATTCCGGCTGAATGTAGAAGAAACACAAAGGAATATGTAGCGTATGAAAACCACGGAGTAGTACGTATTTTCGCCCTATCTGAAAGTTTGAAAATATGTGAACTGGTTAGATGTCGTTATGCACTTGCAGATGAATAAACTTGACAAGACATTGATTGATTCTCCTAACCAGTAATTCCATGATTGGCATCTCATTCCATAGGGCCGCACGTGGACCGAGTAAGAACTTAGCCATTGCAAGGAGCGAACCGCAATGGTTGTTTGATTTATAAAGTTTATAGCAGGTATAAACTAAGACGCAATCAGCCACTTGGATCNAATCTCTGAAAATACAGAGTTTCAACAATGAACGATTCTTGGGACGACGTAGTAGGATAGGATGCCCAGAATCCTGTGAAAGTTGTTTCCTGATATTGTTATTCAGATGGGGCGTCTGATTATCAGGATTTCATCCACAGGTCCCTTGAAAAGGCGAATTCGAATGTCTCAAGAAAGTGTGGTAATAGAACTACTGAATGAAAGTAGAAACGAGACCTCTAACCGCAGTTTCTTCAGAAACCGCTACGTGGCCAAACGTGCCAAGCGGAATAATCAGATAGTATGCATAAGGATTTTCATGATGTCTAAAAGTGAGAAATGAACAATTCGCACGATTCTGTGACGGAATAGCTCTGTTGACAAGAGTGAATAACAAAGAAGTCGGGGAACCACATGCATTGAAAGAGTGCCTTTGGTTTCTGTATCTATATATTGCTTCGCATTCGTAGTTGCGCTGAGTACGAGGTTGTCAACTTACATGCATAAGTTCGATCTCTGTGTTTAGTTGGAGTTGGATTAGCCGAAATGCGACGATTATAGTAAAGTGTGGGAAACTACTAGAAAGAAACAGTGAAACAGTTATACCAGATGGAACCCCTGTAAATTACGTATTGTCTTGGTTGTGATTGGTGGTGGTTAGGACGAGTCTTTTGACAATGGGCACCATGGAAATTTCGCTGTTCGATCTTCAGCGAATCTGCAAAAGTGACTTCTCTACGTCTGAAACAAGGAAATAGTGCGACAGACGGGCGCGAGAATTCCAACTAGACTGGAAGCATAGAAATACCTGGATAATTACAGCCTATAAGGATTGGGGCGGGATGGCTGAGCAGATAAATGTGCAGACCCATGTCTGCATTTAGGAATAGCGCGAGTTCGATCCCTACCGAGACAAAATCCGTGTCATGTAAAAACTGCAAAAATGGTATCGGCGCAAGAGACAGGCCCAGGTTGACGGGCCGGCTGATGGAGGGATCCAGTCACGAAAATCACGTCAAACGTCTCGACAGAATTCAATTACAAGGTAGGATGTCATCCGGCAATGGCGCACAGGACCCCGAACGAGTCTTGTAGATATCTGTAGGCATTGGGACTCGACTATGAACAACATTATGCGGGGGTTGAGTGAGAAACTCAAATTGGAACTCAACTCTAAACGTGGGATCGCTTACCAGAAAGTCGTAAGAGATCGCTTATCTAGAGCGCCGAAACATCCAAGCTCTGTGCTTTCAAAAGACTCGCTGGAAATGAGCAGAGGTCAGAGAAATCGAAGAAGGTGTTCAGCTCTATTACAGCGATTGAGACGCCAAACGAAATAGTGTGGCCACACCAAAGGAAAACACTGTTTCCGCCTTCGATAGGATCAGCAGTCGGATCATGGCTGTATTATAGACCCGAAATAGCGCTACTGGGTAGTAATATCCGTGTACGCGCCACAAGGGGTGATGCAAATGGGAGTTCTCTCTGAGCCTGATCATCAGATCAGTTCCGAATGGGAATATAGGAGTAGGAGGTAGAGGGATAGGAGTCGGAAACGAAGAATGAGAGAGAATCTTCGATCTGGCAGTAGCCCAAGACTTGTCGGTTTGCCGCACTTCCTTCGGGAAAGTGAAGATTGAAATGGTTACATACCGCATTGGAGGGAAAGGAAAGGAAATGAACCATGTGCCCGTAGAAATTCGACATAGCCATCGATCTTCCCAAGAAATGAAGGGCAAGAGCGGATCGGAGGAACCGGTGGTGGAAGCTGCAGCGGGTCGTAAGAGAACGCCTGAAAGAAAAGATACTAGAAGTTGGACACCCAAATCCCGAAGGACCGATCCAGCAGACCTGGAGCGACGTCGTGAAGGTCACTCCGCGATGTGAAAGGAAAATGCTGGAGGAAACTCGAGGTAGATTCCGAGGGGAGAGGAAGCATAGTTCTGGATGAAGTCCATCAAGCTGTGGGGACACGATCTTTGAAGGACCTCGCTGGCCTACAGAGGTGCGCTAAGGCAGCTGTTGCGAAGGCGAAGAGAACTGAAATTGACACCTTGAGAATCTCGATGGTCAGCAAGGAGAGAAGAATGTCTTCGGGCTGGTGATAGCGCGTAACTGGGCTACACGGAACATCGGGATAGTGGAGTCCGTTAAAAACAGCGGGGATGCAATCGTGAGGAAGCCTGGTGAGGTGATGGAAAGAGCACCTCAACAGGCTCCTAAACGAAGAATCCCTCGGTGAGAATAGCTCCAAATAGAGGCGACAGCTGGTGCCACAACACTCTGGACAGTGCATGAGGTGCGAAGGGCGAATGGTCAGAAGAAGGCTGGAAAAGCAGCTGGTCTGGATGGGGGCCCAATCGAGGCATGGAAGGCACTCGGAGAGCACAGAATTAAATGGATCTCTCAATTTCAAACGTGTGATCACTGCAATCAAAAAAAAGCTGTACTTTCGTTCCCATATTCCACATAGGTGGGCGCGATGGAGTGATTCAGCTACCAAAGGATCAGGTTAACTGCCCACACGATTCAACTGTACGAACGATTAGCTTACTCGAGATTGACAGAACGCGCCTAAATCTCACAGGAGTAATAGACTTCATGACAGAAAGGTTTACAACGGCGCTATATTCAGATAGATAGATCAGATAAGTGATGCAGAAATATCGAGATGAGCGTAAGCCCTGTTACCTAGCCTGCCTCGATGTGGAGAAGGCTTTCTGTCATCTCCAGCGGAAAGTCCTATGGAGAGCGCTCCGAGAGCGAAAAATTTAGATGTCTAATTTTAGTGTCAAGGCCATGTACGATGGGTCCGCAACCCGCACTCTATACAGCCTGCTCGGAGCAATATACGATTGGCGTACATCAGAGGTCAGCCTTGAGCCCGTTCCTCCCTTTGTTTGCAATGAACGTCATCACAAAGAACTCATGAATGAATTATTAAAATCAGTGAATTACTGAAGATCATCCTCTAAATTATGACATCGCTCCGATAACGGAGAGCAAAGGAAACTCCGGCACAGGCTGCAGAGATGGTAGAAATTCCTGGCGCAAAATGGGCTTCGCCCGAACGTGATGAAGGCTTAGTTCCTCAGTTCCGAGGAGTGCACGGAGTCGATCGTAAACGGTGTCGGAGAAGCCGCTGACGGTAGCGTGGATTAGGCTGTGGAGGCCTGAACAAACGCGACGCGGATGAAGTGGAGGGTGTCTCCTGGCATCCTTTGCGACCTACGGTGACTCTCCAGGACGATCAAAGAAAGGTGTGCATGACTGTAGTGAGGCATACGATGATCCACTTCAGCAAGTTTTCGCCCTCAAGCAGAAATCATGGAAGACCGCTTCAATCCGCTGAGATGCGAGTGCTCAGGTGGGCATGCGGTTGGACGCAACTGGAAAGGTTAGAAACAAGGATGTCTGATCGTTCACGCGGAAGCTCCTGTCCAGCTGAAGACGAGAGAGCACTGTCTACTACGGTATGGACACGTAGTGAAAAAATCACGGAATCATCCAATAAGGGAGGCAGTTGGAATGCCGTGCTCAAGGGGAGCAACCACGAGGAGCCTTAAGAAAGAGGTGGCGGGACTTGATTAAGGAGGACCTCGCCGAAGCTGAACAAACGACAGAAGATGCTGTAGATAGAAGGTGGTGGAGACGACTGACAAGAGTAGTGGACGACGCAGCGGGGCGTAATTAATGCTAGGGAGCAGCAAAAGAATTAGACAACCGTTGAGGGTTGGTGCTGCTCTGATGAGACGATGCATCGATGGCGATGCTAAGTTCCATGGTGGCATACAACTGCCTAGCTATTGCTTAATTGAGTACATAGTATTATGTATTCATAAGTTGTTCAATGGGTGTTCGTGGATTTCCTCGATTATCTTTTGTTTGTGGTAGTCAGTTAACGTGACCATGCCAAGATTCCAGCTTCTGGCTTAACGAAATGTAATCGATATTTGCTCCTTAGATTTTGAAGTCGCCTATTGTCGAGCCTCGAGTGGGGCCTATTCAACGGGGGTTATACATTCAGACATTCGTTCAGCTCCAAACAGTGTCTCGGAATCGTAGGACACTATAACCTCTCCGTTTTGATGGAAGAGCGGATCTTGATCGCGTGTGATTCCTGTCATGTCGAGGCTGTCAGAGCGAAATGTTTGCTGAACTTTTTGAACCCGAACGAATGTTGATTAGCAGTAATGGCGGAATGCTGTAGAAGATGAACAGAAATACTTCGAGCTTTAGATGGTCGCTCTGAGAAGGGAAGGATACTTCGCACAGTGGCCATTCAAGGTAAGATGTGCACCTCCGTAGGTCGTTTCGAACGCTGATCTCAAACCTGTACTTCGAATCTGCTCAACGATTCTATAAATAAAGTTAAGGGACCGATTCCTCCCTGTGTTATACCGCTGTTACAGACGGATCACGGAGCCGAGTACATCTGTAACTGTGCATCGGTGGTGCAACTGATAGGATAGTGCGCTGGTAGGCATGACGTCAAGGTGCGATCCCCTGATGAATGTGCTCGTTTTGCTTTTCCAAAAAATGCGTCTTAAACGCTTGCAAAACGTTTTTGGGCTCACGCAAGTCAGGATTTCGGGGCTAGTAATCCGATGCAAAAATTTCACCATTTCTGACCGAATATATACACCTCTCTAGCCCAAACAGTCAGGATAGTGTTTCGAAATTTCCTGCAGCACTCCGCACTTACGATCGAACGCGGTCATCTGACTAGAGATCTCTTTGGGAGGGGTACGGTTCACACATTATAGGATTACTATCGGCGTAAGGGATTACTATCGTGTTCGAAGTGGTGGTACAGGTTGACTGGTATTGTTGAAGAAATACTGTAGAACAATACAGTGCGCGTCAATCGCTTATGCCACCCCTACATTCTCCTGTTATCTCGGTTCCTACCCACTTCTGTCACATGTGACATACTGCACTACAATGGACTGTGTCAGGGACTCACATATACGAGACATACACCTGATCAGAGAAACAGCTTCATTTTTACAGTTCATTTTAATAAATGTGCCACGTCAAAATTATATGCCATACTTCAACACATGATGAAAAAAACAGAAAAAAGCACAATTGGTAAAACATGAATACTTAGTTGGACCACCTACTTCACGAATAACTTCGAGAATTCTATTTGGCATACTGTCAACGAGATTTTGAATTACATTTTCTGGAATTGAGTTCCATGCACTTAGAATG